TGTGCACAGCGCTTCGCTGAGTTCTGTGAGTGGTTCTGCCACATTATGGAACTTGAGGAGGTTGTGGGCGCCCCTGGTTTGTTGCAGACGTTCAGAAATGAAGACAGGTGTCCAGAGGCAGGGACTGGCGTCTGCAGGAGACGCTTGCGGGAAGGCGCTGAGCTTGGTAGATTCTGCGCTGACTCTGGGTGGGGTCGTTAGTGAGTTGCTGGACACCCCGTTGGGGTTGAAGCATTGGCTGGTGTTGAGAAACTCCACCCAAGTTTTCTGTCAGAAGAAAGACATGGCTGAGCCTGGGCTGGAGGAAGATGCACCCAGTGTGTCTGCGGGAGCGCGACTGGATTTTGCACTTGCGCGGTCCTGCACAGTCTCCTCCTGGGGAGGGACTGAGAACTCAGAGGAAAGGAGTTTTGAAACATCGCTTCCTTCACCCTGCTGCCAGCCCCCACCCAATGCTAACCCTCCTGAGCGCGCCCACCGGTATTCGCATTGCCACACTCCTTCCAGTCTGGGGGTTCCACCACTCAGGAGTTGTGCCACTTGGCTGCTTTGCTCCTAGCGTTTTCTGCCAAAAACACACGCAGTGCCCAAGTCTCCTGAACTTTTTCATCTCAACCGCAGATACTGAATCCTGTAGCAGGAACTTGCTTCCTTCACCCACCCAACCTTCTGGACCGCCTGATCCTATTATCGCCTGTCTTTATAGATACAGGAATCAGAGCATAGCCCTGCTGCCTCAGCCTGTACACACTTAGTACAAACCAGTGCTTTAGTCAGTCCCCCTGCCCTGCTGCCACCCGCAGCTCTTGATAGCTGCTTTCTCTCTTCTGTAGCTTTTTTTTCCTTCCCACACAAATTCTCTACGGGTGAAGCCATCCTCCAGGTGCCTATGAGTTCAGGCGTTGAGCGAGTTCAAGACAAGGTCTTTGGAGGCCTGGATGTTGTAGGAGCAAACACAAATTAGAAAAGGCTTAATGCTTTCTCTTTAGAATGAAGAATTTTTTTGCTCTTCTCCTTTTCACTTAAAGCATTTAGTTTGAGAACTTTTATATTTAAGAAAGAAAAATATTTTCCATATCTTCTTCTTTGAAATATGTGTAGTCATTTTTTTATCAGTTAAATAGGTCATTTTGTCTTTTTTTGGCTCCAAATTGCCTTCATCTCAGGACCACAGAACTATTGTGCAAATGTAAATAGCAAGAACACACACTTACACCCTATTTCACAGTTTCTGTGGGGGCCCCCAGAGAGGCTGCTAACCAGCGGAGTACCTAGCCACATTGCAGGGTAAATCTACATCCTGTCATGAAGATGTGGATGTTTTCTTTAATTATTAGAAAAATTAGAAGAAAGGCTACCCCAGATGACCTCTCAGATTACAAGGGTGAAATTATAATAAATTGTGTATAACAAATGGTGCTTTCAAGGCTTCTACTTGAGATTTAATTATAGTGACTTTCTGTGTTTGCATTCTCTTAGATTGTGATGCACATCACATTTTGATTTAATTATACAACAAAACTTTTTCTTGCGGTTCTGTTATTGTGGAGACTTTTTTAGGATTGCAGATGTTTTAGCTTTTAGTTATGTTTTCCACACACTGTCCAGAATTACCAGATGTTGTACACAAAATGTCCAGCAGTCTTCACTTCAGAAAACATTCTTTCTTAAGATTCCAGTCACAACCTAAAATTGTGCGGCAAAGTGTTTCCCAAATCTGCAAACAGAATGGTCTCTCTCTTCAGGATCTACAGTCCTTTCTAGAGCAGTTAGGCTAAATTTCTACAAAAATAACTTTTCAGGACAGTAATCAGTTGTTCACCTCCTTCAGTGCTCCTGGCATCTTCCATTCTGACACTGATTTCAGAGATTTGGGGCCCATAAACCTAACCAGAATCACACATACGCATCGATTAAACCTGAGAAATTCTCCCTCCCACCTCCCCTTCCCCAAATGCCTAGATGGCTGCATGGCTCACAGCCCTCCCAAGACCCTAAATGTGCAGTTCTAGATTCTGAATTTTATGTCTGGAATTTGATAAAGAACTTTTTATCTACGAGAAATATAAGTTTTAAATGTATCAGACCCAGAGATGTGTTAAAGAGACCACAGTCACATACCGTTCCCCTCCTTGAACTATTTGTCTTTTGAAATTGCTTGCTATTGCCACAAGTGTCTGTAAATTAACCTAATAATGCCACGCTGGACACTATAACCTATATCCTATAGCTTAACTATGTATATGACCAATCACTAACCAATGTTACTTCTATAAACCAATAAGAATATCGTGACACGCTTTCTATCCCAAGTCTGCTCTGGCTTCCTTTTGCCTTTAAAAAATATGCTTGTAACTGCTTCTGGTGGAGTGTATATTCAGGGCAACTTTATACTCAGGATTGCAGTCTTCAAGCTTTAGCTCAAACTCTGTACTTATGTTACCCCAATTTTTTCCTTTTAGCTCAAAATATTCTTTAGAATGTGTTGAAGGAGGCTTCATGAGAAGGTCTTTCCTCTGATTTTACTCTGCTTCCTGTAACTCAAGAATGCAGCACACATTGATCTCACCTAGAATCTGCACGCAAAAGCTGGCCTCTGCCTAAGAGTCACAAGACAGGGCCAGACTGTGGAGTTGAAGGAATACAGGAAAGTCATAGAAGGTGTTTCTGCATCATGAGAGGTCAACATAGACATCTTAAGCCCCACTTTCAGAGTGGAGCCCTTTGAGTTTTCTGGATCTTGTCCAGTGACCTGCTACAGCTTCTGTTGTGTAAGAGGCTTCTGGTGTGAACACAATGCTGTGACAGAATCTATAAATGTAAACAAGCACCTTAGCAGTGGGAAGTCAAGGCCACTAAATATCCAGAGTATATCTCCCAACTGTGCCTCCCTGTGTTACTAGAGTACTTTGTCCTTCCCCTGCCTGAGTTAGCTGATCAGGGACAGGGGATATCATCCCGGATCCAGGATCTGCAGCTCCATCAGGGCAGTTCCATTTTCTGTTTGCACCCATAAAGTCAGCCTGAGTCTCTCCTGCCTGGATCACTATGGGGGCATCAGCCTAGGGTCACTGGGGACACTCTCAGCAGCGTCAGTGAGTATTTGAGACATTTGAGGATGTCCTGTGCAGACTGGGGTCAGTCTGTTTCCTTCTATGGTCATTGGAGAAGAGATGAAATAGTCATGGTCCCTACCATCAAAGGAACTTGCATTCTAGAGCACATGAATAAATGATTAAATTCAGTGTCATGTATTCAGTACAAAGATGAAAACTGTACAGGAGACTTAAGCTTTATTTGGGTTACTTCCCTTTTATTGTTTGGTGAGTTTTGATGCCACCACCTGCAGGGCTGTTTTATGGACAAAGAAGTCATTGGCTTGTATTGTGTTTGCCTTGCTAAGAATAAATATTTAGCTTCAAATATAATTGGTCAGGAAAAACAAAAGGGTTTTGGTTAAATTCCTTTTTATTGTATGTTACAGATGGGGAAGTGGCAAAATAGATAAAAATTACACAAACTCTGGGAATCAAATTTCTCTTGGATGGGCTTAGAAAAGACAAAACTGAAACTACTTAGTGGCCTAGAAAGCAGAAGCCTAGGACCTATTTTCTGTCCCAACTCTGCCCAGATCCACCATCTACTGAACCTTGTCCAGGTCTGACCCCACACTGCAATGCCTCACAGAACTGCTTAGAGAAGATGAGAGTTTGGGGTAGCTATTCATACTCTCTCCAGAGCTGGTGCTCCCAATTTCACCAAAACCCAAAGCAGATAAATTGGGGAAAAGCAATGTACTTTGGGGCCTTAAATTATTTTACAAAAAATTAAAACCAGTATTTCTAGAGACATCCCATCCAGCAACCTGTTCTCCATCTTTGCAGTTTCAGTGGATTTTTCACAAGTCTCATAGTAACTACAAACACAAAAATAAATTCTGGTGTACTTAAAACTTTTTCTTCTATATGCTGTCCCCTTTATCTACATTGAGCTATTATTCTATGCATTTTTTAAAATCACCCGATAGGAAAACAAGAAAAAACAGAAAATGCTGGGACCCTGCATTTAAATCCTGGGAAGTATTACACACTTTGTACCCACCTCCCAGGATGCTATGAGAATCAACACACATAATGAGCTTCCCAGCACAGTGCTCTGTTACATACTCCTGAGCACATAGTACGTGCTCCATAAATATCACATTAATGCATGTGGATGTGCTGTTTTTCAAATGCAGACTTACTCAGACATTGCAACCATCTCCAGCCTCTGTAACCTTTAAAGGGCTTTGAGAATGCCATCTTTCAGGATGATGATTGCTGGTCTTGTCTTCAGATGAAAAGTATTTGTATTGTGATAAGGGTGTTGGGAGTGAGGCTCTGCTGTGTCTGCTTTCTCTAGCTAGTGGTACTGTAATGGATCTAAGGGGGAGGAGCATCAGCATTAACGGGAGACTTGCTGTAAAAAGCTAATTTGTGGACCCTTTTCAAACCTGCAGAATTGTGTTACTTACAGTAAGGCCTAGAATACCAAATTTATATGCACATTGAAGCAAGAAACCCAATGTTTAACTAAGTGACCCTCAGCCCAGTCTTCAGTAGATCACATGGCAGTTTTGAGAGAGAAACAGTCACCTGTTCCCTCCTACAGATCCTGTTAAGTTTCTTGTGTGACATTAACGAGGCCAGGGTCAAGCATGAGGGCTTCCCGGGAATGCTTTAACGAGACATGAGTTCACCTTTTGTTCAGGAGGTCCTTAGGACCTGCTTTGCTTGGTTTTGTAGGGACAGGTGAGTGTAGCCTATATTTCTGCAGCAACAAAAGAATTGCTGGCATGCCCTCCTTTTTCCTCAGAGTTATAGAATACTTTAGATAACATTACTGTGTTAAAAAGTCATTTTATCCAGATAATTCCAGTCAGTCCCATAAGTCACAACTTCTTCTCTTATTTCACTTATGGTCAAATTAAGAACTGTCACATGATAAATATGTGTTTTCAGGAACTCTTAACATTCAGGGATGTGGCCATAGAATTCTCCCCTGAAGAGTGGAAATGCCTGGATCCTGCCCAGCAGAATTTATATAGAGGCGTGATGTTTGGGGAGAACTATAGAAACCTGGTCTCCCTGGGTATGGATAACTTTTAATACGTAATTCCTAGTACTTTCTCAGAGTTTCATTTTCTTTCTTTGTAGAATGTCTCTTGGGAGCTTCTGCTTTGCATTAATTAATTTTCAGTTCCTTTCTACAAGAAAAAAATTGGGAATTTGCTTTGGTGTAAAAAAATCTTTAGGATGTTTCATCATTGCATAAACCTTCTCTTTTCTTGAACCGTTGTGTTCTTCACTCTAGGATAGTAGTAATTCTAGAAATTCAGTGATGTAAAATACTGTTTTCCACATCTTAAAATCCAATTTTCCACTTATTTTTGATTCAGTAGTACTGGGTAGTGGAACTTAGAACCGCAGATTAAAAAATATTTAAGTATTCTAAAGATTCTGTCCAGGGAAACAATTTTTGGGTTAAATTTCTTTATTCTACTTAGCATAGTAATAGATTGGTCATTAGATATTATCCCCAGCAATAGTCATGTTAATTTTTTTAATAAAACAGGTTTATGATCTCAACCCAGACCTGGTCACCTGTCTGGAGCAAATAAAAGAACCCTACAACTTGAAGATACATGAGACAGCAGCCAAACCCCCAGGTAGGTGAGAGTGAATGAAGGAGAGGACACAGGCAAGGAGGCAAAAGGTCAGGAAGGAAGCCAGGCCTTCAAATGTAGTTTAAGAAACTGTGCCAATGAAAATAATTTCTGAGAAGGCTGCATTTTTTCTCTTATTCACAAATAGAGTCATCTTCTGTCCCATGCTCTTAAATCTTCTAAGAATTTCCTTTTTTTCTTCAGTGATCTCCATTCAAGTTTACAGGGAGAGCCAGTGTCCACTTTATCGCTTGTAAGGGGCTGCATGATCTGACTGCTGTTCAAGTGGCACCCAGAGACATAGGAGTATTTGTATTATTGAGGACCTCTATGTTAAAGTATTTTTTCAAATATTATTTTTGCATCAGGCCTAAAATATGTGGGTGAGTAGTGGACATAATGGGATTTGGTTTAGAAATCCCAGGAACACGAAGGACAGATGTTGCATCTTTTCCACTTAGTGATTTTAATCCTGTGAAAGTTGCAAATGTAATTCTACAAAAACTCTTACTCAAAAGTTTATCAGAACAATAAGCATTTTTTCAAACATGAAAAAAATGTTATTTTACTTCAAAATGTTATTTAGTATAAACTGAAATTTGTGATTTAAACTCTATATATTCAAATTTTCAAATTATAATATAGTTTAAAGCACAGGTTTTCAAACTCTTGGCTTCCCTGGGCCACTTTGGAAGAAGATTTGTCTTGGGCCACACTTAAAATTATAAAATACACAAACAATAATGATAGCTGATGAGCTAAGAAACAAGAAATAGGTTTGTGAATAATTTTTGTAATCTACCGCAAAAAAGAATCCTCACACTCAAAGGATTGGATACCATTGGTTTCCAAAGTATCTACTCACCTTCTGATTTTTCTTTTCTTTTTTTTTTTTTTTGAGACGGAGTCTTGCTCTGTCACCCAGGCTGGAGTGCAGTGACATGACCTCGGCTCAGTGCAACCTCCGCCACCCTGCAACCTCCACCTCCTGGGTTCAAACGATTCTTCTGCTTCCAGTCTCGAGTAACTGGGATTACGGGTGCCTGCGGGGTTTCACCATGTTGGCCAGGCTGGTTTTTAACTCCTGACCTCAAGTGATCCGCCCACCTCCGCCTTCCAAAGTGCTAGAATTACAGGCGTGGTGGCCCAACTTCTAGATTTCTTAAATGTACTATGTCATTAACCAGCTTAGAACATTCCTAAGTGTATGTTAAGCTCTCATTTGTTACCTTATTTCTTAATAAACTATTATCTTATAATTTTGTGTTATTTAGTAGGAAGCCTACTGGGATTCTGTCATTGAACTATAATCCATCTATGCTTATAAGAACTGTGCTTATTGTCACACACATACACATACCTATATAAGTCATATATATTGTATGGGAAATTCTCACTTAACATTGTTGATAGGTTCTTGGAAGCTAAGTAAAGCAACATATTGTTTAAGAAAACTAATTTTACCAGAGTTTAATTGATAAAAACAAGTTATGTTTAAATGGCATATAGCAACATTGTTTCATTTAAAGATGCAGTTTTCAAGAACCTATTTTGAACACTAAATGAGGACTTGAATATATCTGGGTTTGTAGCTGATTTGGATTTTTCTGGTAAAATTGTATAACTATATATTTAATTTGTACAATGTAATGATTTGATATGCATATACATTTTTGGGAAACAAGAAAATATATTGTCAAGTTGATGAACACATCTGTTTACCTCACATAGATAACCACATTTTTTTGGTCATAAGAATACTTAAGGTCTCTACTGTTGTAGCAAATTATAAGCATACATTACAGTATTACTATAAAGACAATGGTGTTTTGCTAATCTAATGCTAATGTGCATTAGCTTTCTCAGACTTACTCAACTTATAACTAAAAATTTGTACTCTTTTTTTTTTTTTTTTTTTGAGACAGAGGGAGTGCAGTGGCCGGATCTCAGCTCACTGCAAGCTCTGCCTCCCGGGTTCACACCATTCCCCTGCCTCAGCCTCCGGAGTAGCTGGGACTACAGGCGCCCGCCACCTCGCCCGGCTGTTTTTTTGTATTTTTTTAGTAGAGACGGGGTTTCACCGTGTTCGCCAGGATGGTCTCGATCTCCTGACACGATCCGCCACCGTCCTCGGCCTCCCAAAGAATCTGGGATTACAGGCTTGAGCCACCGTGCCCGACAAATTTGTACTCTTTAAACAGCATCTCCTCATATTCCCACCCTCAGGCACTTTCAACCACCATTCATTCTCTGTTCCTGAGTTTACATGTTTAGATTCCCCCATCTAACTGAGAACATGCAGTTTCTTTGTGTTTGCTGACTTATTTCACTTAGCGTAATGTCTTCCAAGGTCTATCAATGTTGTAAATGGCTAGATTTCGTTCTCTTTTATGGCTGAATAGTGTTCTACTGTGTGTGTATATATAAATGTTTTTGACTATTTTAAACAAAACTAAAATGAACATGGGGCTGAAGATACTTCTTTGAGGTACCAATTTTATTTCATTTGGTAGTATACCCAGAGGTGGTATTCATACTTCCATTTTTATTTTTTACTGATATTTATGATGACTTTATCAATTTATATCTCACTAATGGCATACAAGTTTCCCTTGTATGTATGTCTTCTTTGTGGGAAAAGAAACAAAACAACTAACCTTTTTGCCTATTTTTGAATAGGTTATCATCATTTTTGTTTTGCTTTGAATTGCAGAAGTTTCTTACACATTTTGGGTATTAACTATCAGATATATGGCTTACAAATGTTTTCTATTTTGTAGGATTTTTTAAAAGTCATTTTTTCTTTACTGTGTACAGAAGCTGTTCACTTTGATGCAGTCCCACTCTTTTGTATTTTCTTCTGTTGCTGTTAACATTGACATACCAAATTGCAAGACCAGTATCAACAAGGTTTTCCATATGTTTTATTCAGGAGTTTTGATTTTTTGTTTTTGTTTTTTTAATGAGGCGGAGTCTCGCTCTGTCCGCCCAGGCTGGAGTGCAGTGGCGCGATCTCGGCTCACTGCAAGCTCCGCCTCCTGGGTTCACGCCATTCTCCTGCCTCAGCCTCCCGAGTAGCTGGCACTACAGAGGCGCCATGCATCATGCCAGCTAATTTTTTTGTATTTAGTAGAGACGGGGTTTCACCATGTTAGCCAGGATGGTCTCGATCTCCTGACCTCATGATCCGCCGCCTCGGCTTCCCAAAGTGCTGGGATTACAGGCGTGAGCCACTGCGCCCGACCAGTTTTGCGCTTTCATGTCTTGCATTTAAGTCTTTTATTTTGAGTTAATTTTGGGGTGTGGCATAAGAAAATTTTATTTATGGTATAATCTAAGAATTTTATTCTTTGCTTGTGGATATCAATTTTTTTGGTACCATGTATTGACAAGACTATACTTTCTGCATTGTATATTTTTTGGTGGCCTTGTCCAAGGTTAGTTGACCTTGTATGCATGGATGGTGTTTCTGGGCTCCCTGTTGTGTTGCATTGGTGTTTGTATCTGTTTTTATGCACATACCATACTCTTTTGATTACTGTGACCTTTAAGTAAGGATTTGAAATTAGAAAGTATCCATGCCCCCAGCTTTGTTCTTTCTCAAGATTGCTCAGGGTATTTTAAGTTATTTAAGATTACACTTACATTTTACAATTGTGTTTTATATTACTGTGAAAAATGCCACTAAAATTTTGACCAAGGGATCACACATTGAATCTACAGGAGTCACTTCCTTGACAATATTAGTTATCCTAATGGAATATATTTTCATTTCATTTATTTGTACCTACTTCAATTTCTGTCGTCAATAACTTAACTGTATTGGTGTATGCGTTTATCTCATCCTTTACTTTTTAAATTTATTTTTATGTATTTACTTATTTTTTGAGATGGATTCTCGCTGTGTCACCCAGGCTGGAGTGCAGTGGCGTTAGCTCGCTGCAACCCCTGCCTCTCAGGTTCAAGGGATTCTCCTGCCTCAGCCTCCCGAGTAGCTGGGATTACAGGCACGCGCCATCACGCCTGGCTAATTTTTTTGTATTTTTAGTGGAGATGGGGTTTTGCCGTGCTGGCCAGGCTGGTCTAGAACTCCTGGTCTCAAGTGTTCTCCCCACCTTGGCATCCCAATGTGCTGGGATTACAGGTGTGAGGCACTGTGCTCTGGCCCTTTACATTTATTTTGATTAAGTTCCTTATTTTTATACCTTGCAATTAGAAACTTTTCTTTTTTTGGAAAGTTTGTTGTTACTATATGGAAATGTCTAACAGATATTTGTTTGTAGGGTCAGGAGTGCAGTGCTTCATTTTCTGTAATCTGCACTTTCAGGTTAGAGGCCAGGAAGGTGGATCACTTGAGCACGGGAGGTTTGGGAATAAGCCCGGGCAGCAGAGTGAGACCCTATCTCAAACAAACAAACAAAAAACCCCACAAGTATTTTTATGTTGATTATGTATCCTGATACCTTAATGAATGCATTTATTAGTTCAGTTTTTGTTGTTTTACTCTAGGGTTTTGTATATATGCATGATCATATTATCTACAAACAGTAACATTTTTACTTTTATTCCAAGCTGGAAAGCTTTGTTACTTTCCTTAATCTAATTGTTCTGATACAAAACTTTCGGTAATATGTTAAGGTACAAGCTGTGGCCCTGGAGGCATGCTTGCAGATCTTGGTCTCAGCTTTGGTCCCTGAAACAGCCCCATGTCTGTACATTTGAAGAATCTAACAACTCTTACAGTTTCTATAAACTGTCTTTGGCAAGTAAAGATCTCCTTTTATTGGGTCCCAAACTGATGAGATTATCTCTGAGGTTGCTAGAAGAAAGGTCGTAGCTGGAGTCACGGGTGCTGCTGAGTCTGTTGTTTTGAATGGCATATAGCAGCATTGTTTCATTTAAAGATGCAGTTTTCAAGAACCTATTTTGAACATTAAGTGATACAAAACAAAACATCCGTTTTGAGTGATATGGGGTCTGCCTTTGATGGTTGTATTACCAGAGATTTGGACAGTCATGGATTCTTTCTGGACCATGGAAAGATTAAATATCCTTGAGGACATTAATCTATATGGCAGGCAGTAGGGTAGGGTTTTGAAGTTTGTCTGCATATGATGGGCGAAATGCCATGTGTATGAATGGGATTGGCTTCTACTAACTACCTGGGAAAAGTTTTCACAAGTCTCTGTGTGGGTCTGGGTGTGTACAACTGGCCATGGACTGTGGCTGTGAGCACTAGAACTGAGTCACAGGGCTGCTTCAGGGACCACAGCTGAGGCCAAGACCTGCGAGCCTGCCTCCAGGGCCATGACTGGGTGTGTTTCCCTGCAGGTCTCTTGACAGGAAGGACCACTTTTGGATTATAACTGAAGGAGTTTGAAAGAGGTTGCAGAACTGCTTCATAATCTTCAGTAAGACCAAGCTTGGTGCCCCATTCCCTTGTCTGTATCTCTGTCTGTGGACCCTTAGGGGTTAGCCACCTGGGTGAGGGTGCCTGCTTTTCCCAAATAACCCTTTTTGATCTTTTGCTTCACTGAGGTTTCACAACCTAACCATAGGCAAGCACCTTTCTACTTCCGTTTTCCAGGAGTTTACTATTTAAAATATCTTGTATATGTGGAATCATACACTGTTACTCTGTTGGTGTCTTATTTCACTTAAAATAATATTTAAGATTTATCCTTATTGTAGCAACTGATGAGATATTTTCATTTGAGGCTAAAGAATATTTCATTATGTGTATAAGCCACATCTTTTTAAATCATTCATCTATTGAAGGTGTTTGAGTTTTTTCACTTTTTGGCTTTTGTAAATTATATGGTTTTGGATCTGTCCCCATTCAAATCTCATGTCAAATTGTATTCCTAGTGTTGTTGGAGAGTGGGCCTGGTGGGAGGTGAGTTGGATCATAGGGTTGGCTTCACGTGAATAGTTTTAGCACCAGCCCCTTTGGTACTGTCTTTGCCATAGTGGTGGCCCATTTACTCCTGAGATCTCATTTTTCAAAAAGCATGTAGCACCTTCCCTCTTGTGCTCTCTTGCTCCTGCTCCCACCATGTGAGATGACTCACTGGCCCTTTCTGCCATGACTGGAAGCTTTCAAGGCCTCCCTAAAGCAGAAGCTGCTATGCTTGCTGTACAGCCTGCAGAACCATAAGCCAATTAAACCTCTTTTTAAAAATAAATTACTAAGTCTCAGGAATTTTTTTATAGCAGTGCAAGAATGAAACAGTGAATATTACTGCAGTAGACATGGATGTGCAAATACTTCTTTCAGGTATACGTTGCACACTTTAAGTAGATGCTCAGAAGTGGAATTACTGGGTCATACAATAACTTGATTTTTTTAATTTTGGGAACCTCTACACATTTTCATGTGGCTGCATCATGTTTTTCCACCAACAGTGTACAAGGATTTCAATTTCTCTACATTGTTAACAATATATATTATTTTTTGTTTGCTTGATATTGGCCATCCTAATTAATGCACAGTAATACCTCATTTGTGGTTTTCTTTACATTTTCTAAAGATTAGAACTTTTTTTCAATAATTGTTTGTGTATTTCCTCTTTGGAGAAACATTTTCATCTCCTGTCTATTAGTCATGTAACTTTTTGTTTTTGTTTTTGGAGTTGTTCTGGATGTTATCTTCTGTCAAATATATGTATATATTTTGGCTTTTCTGCTGCTTAGGTGGGACTCTTACTGCATATTTGATGTGGAGAGATTAACGTAGTCCCACTTTTCTGTGCTTTAAATTTTTTTGCTCATGTATTTGATATTACATGCAACAAAACATTGCTGAGATCAATGTCATAATCTTTCTTCCTATATTTAACTCATTCAAGACAGTTTTTGTATATGGTTCAGGGGAAGGATCCAACCTCAGTATTTTCCTTATGGATATAGGATTTTTTCCAACATGATTTATTGAAGAGACTGTCTTTCTTGTGTGTGGTTATTGCAACCTTGTTGAAGATCATTTGAACAGGTACACAGTGATTTGTTTTTGAGTTCTGGGCTCTGTTCCATCATCTGTTGTCTTCTTTACAGAGTACCACACTATTTATTTTATTTAGTTTTGTTATCTGTTCTAAAACAGGAAACATCGTGCCTGTAACTTCTTGTTTTCTAAGAATGTTTGGGCGTGGTTAAGAACTTCCTTATGCCAGGATGTTGTTCAGAAGGGATTTTTTCAACTTAGATGCAGGCACAATAAATCAACCCAAATGTCCTAAACTTGACCCAGCTTATTAGAATGTCATACACATGACATTAGCATTGTTGTTTTAGCACTCCCCTACCCCCGTCTCCCAAGTTTTTGCTTAGGCACTCATGGGTAATAACCAACATGGAGTCACTGTGGCCAACCCCAGGCATGCACAGATGCAGCACCTTTAGTGGGGAACTTACCCCTCCTATTTGGGCAGAACCCACAGAAGACTTCCTTTTTCTTGCCCCATAAAAGACCCATAACTCGGATGGGTGAGGTGGCTTATGCCTGTAATCCCAGCACTTTGAGAGGTAGAGGCAGGCAGATCACCTGAGGTCAGGAATTGAAAACCAGCCTGGCCAACAACATGGTGAAACCCCATCTCTACAAAAATACAAAAAATTAGCTGGGCATATGGTGGGTGCCTGTAATCCTGGCTACTCAGGAGGCTGAGGCTGGAGAATCACTTGAACTGGGGAGGCAGAGGTTGCAGTGAGCTGAGATCAAGCCACTGCACTCCAGCATGGGAAACAGAGCAATACTCCATCTCAAAAAAAAAAAAAGAAAGAAAGAAATCAGGCCCATTTCTGGCAACCTGCTTTCAGGTCCCCTCTTGCTGTAGTAAATCCTACTCTGCCAAACTCACTGTCTGGTGTTGCCATGCTTCATTCTCCTTGGTGGTGGACGAGAGCCCGGACCTGGCTGAACTGAGGAGACCACCGCACCTCTACAAAACAGCATCTGTGAGACCGTGGTCTTCACGTGGACACTCTCAGTTTGCAGCCCCTGCTCTCTCTAGGGGTACTGTTCCACCCACCCTTGAGCCTGAGGAGAAAAGTTGGTAGGCTGTTCCCTCACTTTTAGCAGAAAAGACATGTTCAGGCCCTCACTTCCCTGAGGTCAGAGCCCTCATGCCTGCACTCAATGTGGCAGACACCTGCCATATATAGCTACTGGGTACCT